CTTACTGTGGACACCCTCCTGACACAGTTACCATGTAGACATTGTAGGGGACTAAGTTTCAATCTCAATATTATGTAGCGGCAATACTGATATAGCTTGTAAGAGACTGAGCAAAGTTCAGTAGCCTTTTAACAGCAGACGAGGACTGCTTTCATTTGAACAAGATTCTTAGATGGTTATAGAGAGAAGTATCCTCAGGAGATATAGTGGGCTTCTTGTCTGTTAGACAGATGGTTGTTCAAGCAATTGGTAAGAATAACTGATTTGTGACTGCATTGGTACTGCAGACTTAAGGAGCAGTTTGCATTGATTACACAAATAAAGGCATATACCTCTTCTGGGATAGCGGAAAAGGCTATAAAAGGGGCATTTTTATACTGCCTGAAATTAAAATATAGAAACCAATAGAATAGAATGTGGAAGTTCCCAGATTTCAAGTGAGAATTAGAGATACAATAGCAGTGAGAGTCATGTGTACATTGCTTGACTTTTTAAAAAATGTGATTTACATATATAGAGACCTGTTTTGAAACTTCAAAACAGTTGTGAGGTTTGCATATGTACAAGCCTGTGTCCACAGGAAAAGAGGGATACAATTTATAATTCATTTTTCTAGCTAGCTTGAATATGCTTTATTTGTATCCTTTGATTTATCAATGTGGCAAGATTTATAAGAAAAGCTGAGCACTTAGATCTGTTCAGTTAAGAAGCTCCAAAACACCCTGGCTCACATAGTTGGAATTTTTTTCTGAGGATAGTGCTTTGTAAAAGCTCAGAAATACTTTCTTTCTTTGTGGAAACTGTCTTAAATGACTTAATCTATTAAGATCAACCATAATATAAAAGCTAAAGCTAACCTGTGGAACTAATCCAAGTTCATTATAAAAACAGAAAATTCAGAAGTTGAGAAAGAAGCAAAAATCACATATAAAGTTTTCCTTTCATTTTTTGGGGTGTCCATATGTTTTACTGAATAGTTATGTACATGTTGGTTAAAGTCCTGCTTTTTTGTCATTTAAAATTGGTGAACTTTCTTTCTTGTGTAGAAGGGACATTTTTGTGTTTTTCAGTAGAGGGAGAGGGGCAGGGAGTGAGGGGGCCAGAGTGCTGAGTGTGATGTCTGCTCCCCCTTTATCATTGGTGCATCTCTGGACACTAAATCTAACCATTTGTGCCTCGGTTTGCTCATCTGAAAGGTGGTGATAATATTAAGACTCATGATGATCTCATGATGTTTTGAGGAGAATCAAGTAAGATGATTAGGCACTTAGACCAGAGCCTGGCAGATAGTGCTTTACCATGCTAGCTGTTATATGAATAACTAGTAAATAGTCTTGAAAAACATTCAATTTGATCATATGACTATGTAATATCATCATATGAGTCCTCTGTAATGTATTCTGGAATTTGCTTACATTTTATTTTGTTCCCCCAATTTTCCTATGTGAGGGTCTGATTTTATGTTAGGTCTAATTCTAGAAGTAGAAATATTGGGATATAAGCAAAGAAACGATATAAATTCTTATTACAAAGAGTCAAATTGCTTTTGGAAAGTTACAAATTCTTTGCATGCTGCCTAGGATTATATGGGAATGCCTGCGTCAGGGTACTCCTTCCAGAGTTGTCTCATAAGGACTCCCTTTGCTAATTTATTAAACATAGCAATGAAAAGGTAACAGATGTTTTTATTTATACCGCCAATTTGTTTTATCTTATTGATTTTTGGTAGCCCTTGATAGACAAATGTCCCAAACAACTTGATGTTTATAAATGTGGCAACATTTATTTTCAGTTTATTATATATAGGTAGCAAGATATGTTAGATAGAGTAGTGTTATAATATTTATATAGTTTCATATATTCATTTTTTCCTTTGTATTTATTAGGCATTTTTACCCTTACAATGCACATTTTTACTTCTGAGGATATTTCCATATTTCTTCTAGATTTGCTTAACAACCTTTAATCTCTCGGTAATTTATTTTAGTATGATATCTATGGTGAGCCTTTAAGTTAATTGTGTTTCTAAATAGCTGACTTTCCTATTAGCATTCTAAGTAATACTTCCATATTATGGATTATTATTACTTACAATTGCTTGACTATATACTGTCTTCGTATACATATAGCAGTAAGGTTATCTCCAGGCTAATACTACTCCATTTTTCAGAGCAAATAGCCCTGAAAGATTTATCTGTACCTATAGCTTCTGGTCCTTTTCTACTATTCGTGACTCATCCCACTGTAATCAGGCTCCCCTTCACATTCACCCCCTAGTCCTGCAGTTGTGCTCATCAGCAGTGACAGAGATGTATGACTCATCTGTCTGACAAGGGAATAATAGCTTGTATATTTTATAAAATGGTAGATGTGAATTTTAATATCATTATATGTGATTACCAGTGAGTCTAACAGGGCTTAGAGATTAACATTCCATAGGAGATACAATAAATCTTTATAATCCACATACCTCAGAAAAATTTTAATCAATTTTATAAAAATATTTCTAGAATTGCTAACTAGACAGGATTTACTTATCATTAAGTTTTCCAGTCTCCAACTTTAAGAGTGTGTGTGTGTGTCCCTGCATGATTATCTGTGTTGAAATGCACCTTCTTTACTTGTGTAAATAATCCTGCTCATTTCCTAAAACTGCTTTTTTAAAAAAATTCTAATTGGAAAGACCAGGATTTAAAATTTTCAGGCATTATTACCTTCATTTTGAATAAAAATTTTAAAAGCCTCTACTTTACAGCTTAATAATATGCAAAATGAGAATAAAATTGGGAATGAAAATGGTTCAGTCACTATGGAAAACAGAGGGGCAGTTTCTAATCAGCTTAAACACATATTTACCATACAGCTAAGCAAGTTCACTACAAGATATTTACCCAAGTGAATAACTCTTTATGTTCACTCTAAAACCCATACATGAAATCTGACTAAGGAAGTGAAAGACTTATATGAAGAGTACTACAAAACATTCATAAGGAAATTAAAGATGACTTAAAGAAATGGAAAGACATCCCATACTCTTGGATTGGAAGAATTAATATTGTTAAAATGGCCATACTACCCAAAGCAATCTACAGATTTAATGCAATCCCTATCAAATTACCTGGGACACTTTTCACAGACCTAGAGCAAATAATCCTAAAATTTATAAGGAATCACAAAAGATTGAGAATTGCCAAAGCAATACTGAAGGAAAAGAATGAAGCTGGAGGAATTAACCCTCCCAGACTGCAGACAATACTACAGAGCTACAATAATCAAAACAGCATGGTATTGTTACAAAAACAGACATATGGATCAATGGAACAGAATAGAGAGCCCAGAAATAATGGTCAATTAATCTTTGACAAAGGAGGCAAGAATATACAATGAAGAAAAGACAGTGTCTTCAGCAAATGGTGTTTGGAAAACTGGGCAGCTGCATGTAAATCAATAAAGTTAGAATACTCTCTCACACCATACACAAAAATAAACTCAAAATGGCTTAAAGACTTAAACATAAAACAAGG